GTCATTTGTTTTTAAAATTGCCGGCCTTCGCCGGTAGACCGCCGGTTACTTTACCAGCGATAGCCGGCGGTCTAACCGTTGGTATTACCGACGCGCAAAACCGCCGGATGTCCACCGTACAACCGCCGGTGGCCGTCGGTAACCGACGGTGTAATGCCATTATCGGCGGCTTGGCATTGGCCGTCTGGTATCGTAGTTTCCGGCGGCCAAACCACCGGTTGGCCGCCGGAAACCTGTAGCACCAGTAAAAAAAAATTGGGTCAACGAAAGGAAAATGTTATGAGATCAAATTATCTAAGACGGTACTCTCTAATCTTATCTGGAGTTACTCCAATCTTTTCATGTAATACTCCGAATTCTGTCTATAAGCATAAAGCCACTCATCTGCCTAAACATCTTCATCTATGCAACCTTTGACTTAACTTTATGCTTCTCTTTTAATGACCAACATTCTACGTTATAACACATTGCAAGTAACAAAACCATCTTCACACACCTAATATCTCTCACATTAATTGATCCAAATTATAAAAACTATTTCTGTCATTATCATTTTAACTTCTCTCTATTGTGTGATACTTTGAAGCTTTAACGAAAAACACAACTCTGCCAATCTCTCCGTATTTAGAGAAGCAAGCTTCGCGGCCATATATGGAAGACTTCACGTATTGGATAAGAAGCACGTAACAATAATTCTAATATGGATGTGGGAGATGAGCTATGGATAGAGAGTTTGAGCTCTTCAGCTTCGTGCATGACTGTACAGAGTTCTGCAACTCATTACACTGATGATGAGCAATAGAGTTGTTCTAAGTTTTGTGGGTTTTTGCTTTTGTTTTCCTTTTTTAGCTTTTTTTTTTTTGGGATAATCCCTTTAATAAGATATTTCAGAGCTTAAACTTTATTTTAGCTCTTTTTGAGTATATTATTGTGAATAATGCAAGAAAATATCAAAAGAAAAATATATTTATATATTCATATTTGCTAGATAAATTCAAATATATCTTAATTACAGAAACCAAACACCCAAGTTGAAATCTTAAAGAAAAATATATTTAGACACTATAATTCCTTTTTTTTAATTTTTTTTTTATATATTTAAACACTATAATTCCTTCAAACCAAAGAGAGCCTATTAGAACTTAATTTTTTCATCTAAAAAGTTGGCCCAAGACAATAATTCGAGAACAATCAAAATGGTTTTCTTTTTATGAAGGATCATTTGAACTTATTTAATAGTGAGGTTAGGAGACATAAATTGCAAGAGCACGCTCGTCCGTCGTCGTCCCGAGCTCATTCTTACCTAATCGAGCTACTTGTCGAGCCCATGAGTCGAGACTGATGCCTGTTCGAGCTTGAACTCGATAGGCCTTCGAGCTCGACTCGAGAGCTCGATAAGCTCGACTCGAGAGCTCGATAAGCTCGACTCGAGAGCTCAATAAGCTCGACTCGTCGAGCCTATTACTGAGTCGAGTCCGAGCCGACTCGCGAGTCAGCTTGACCCGGTTGCACCCCTAATCCATACAAATATGTAAGGGTCGACAAAGTTGATCTTTCCTTATATTATAGGAGACTATGAAAAACAAAATTGAGGCCACTTTCTATTCAAGGAGTGATCATGCTCCTCAAAGTGATAATAATGAGGTCGTGTATTTTTCATAAAGACAATAATAAGAGGAATAGAAATAAAAAGCATATCCCATTTTTGCCCATAAAAATGACAAAATTGCAAAATCATAATTTAGTCAAAGACTAAAATTTTGAGTGCCAAAACTATTCTAGGCTTCTAGCCATGCTTAGAAAAATCATCGTTGATTATTTAATGACACTTTTTAAGCATCATGATATTGAATGCATACTCGTGCATAAAATCTTTGATTCTTTTTCAATTTTTTGAGTGTCGAACATATTTTAGCTATGCTTTGGAAAAATATTGTTGATTATATAGTGACATTTTAAGCACCAAGATTTTGTATAAGTGCAAATTAATGCATAATAGCATCCTTGATCCATTGGTATATTGATGCTTTAAATCATCAATGATAAGGAACTTTAGACATTATGATCTTCTAACTTATTGGAAAGCATTGACATTCAAAGTTCTATTTACAATATTTTCTCACTATTTATGCTCAACATCAACTATTTTTACAAGCAATACCACATCAAATCAAATAGTCATAACAAATATACAAAAATATCTTAATATAATAACATAAAATATCTCAATATTTTAAGGGAGATTTACATACATGATACACACACCTAAAATATTAGTATTAACATATTGGTAGCAAAACGGCGGTATCTAAACGAATAAGCATTGGCTGAGGAAATTTTGTAACTGCCCACAAACACGGTTATATAAAAAGGAATTACGAATAAATTTATATTACAAATAATTTCGACGAACTAATTACGACTTATTCAAACGGAAACGGAAATAATAAATCTAATCAAACGAGGCCTTAATGACACTTTTTAAGCATCATGATATTGAACGCATACTCGTGCATAAAATCTTTGATTTTTTGTCAATTTTTTGAGTGTCGAACATATTTTAGCTATGCTTTGAAAAAATATTGTTGATTATATAGTGACATTTTAAGCATCAAAATTTTTCCGGTGGCTTTCCAACATATTTCCAGCGGAATATGTTTGACTAATTTTTCTACATATTTTTCAGCAGCGGCTTTTCCATCATATTTTTTTTCTTATATTTTTAAATAAAAAAATGTGATAGTTACACACTTTTGCCTTTCCAGCAAATTGGTTGGGTCATTGAAAGCATACTCATTTTGAATCTCAGCGCATCCGGGTAGCGCGATTGACTGGGTAGCGTGGGATGGCAAGCAGCGCATGAGGCGGGCGGGCAGTTGGAAGCCTGATGGGCAGGACAACCAAGCTGGCAGGCAGGGCAGCATGCAACGCTAGAGGCGAGCGAGCAACACTAGAGGCGAGCGAGCAACGCGGGAGGGCAGCGAGCGGGTAGCGGACGACATGTTTTTTTTTTTTAATTTCCGGCAGCATTAGCCGCCGATTGTCATTTCCTTTGCGTCTTTTATTGAAGGAAAAATATCCGCCGGAAAGCCATCGAAATTCTTAATTTCCACCGAAAATTCATAAATTTTTGCAAGAAAAAACTGTCGGTAGTAAGCGATTTTCTTGTAATGCACAAACATTGAGTGTCAGATTTTTTAGTTGGCGACCAGAGCTAGGGCAGGTCGGGCTTCGACATAGCAGGTGTTGGTGACACATAGGGAGGAGAGGGAGTTTGCTTTGTGAGTCTTGCGGCAAGGGCAAGAGGTCGGAACCTTCATGTGCAGGCGGCTTGTTCGCGGGTTTGGTCGGGTCTGAGCATAGGAGGATTGGTGGGATGAGGAAGAGCAAGGCGACGGGCAAGAGGCTATCGGGAAGGGGTCAAATGAGGGGAGGTCGGAAGCTCGTGAGAAAGTAGTCGTCTGCAGTCGTGTGAGGTAGAGGAAGAAGAACGAGGTAGAGTTCCGTCTGCTTTTAATGACAAGAGTGAGAGCGGGCCAGCGAGGTCGAGATGATCTACGGCCTACGCACGCGTGAAAGGACCTCTGTCGTTTGCAGAACCAAGCCTTTTTTTGTTTCTTTAATTTGTCAAACATTTTTTTGGAAAACTCTTTTGTCCAATATTATCTCGCTTATCTGCAGCGTTGTCGGGTGACCGGCCGCCATCATTTATGCACGTTTGTTAATTTTTAGAAAAAAGACTGTCAGCTTATAGGGGCTGGTCTACAGTGGGGCCCTGAGGCACGGGTCCCCACTGGCTAAATAATTAAAAATAAACCCATTTTAATTTATATTAATATAATTATTAATATATAAGATTAAATTTCATTTTAAAACTAATTAGTTTTGATCCGCCTCCGCCTACCTACGCCTCAAGCCAAATTTTGTCTTTAATTTCGTACGTTCAAGATTATTTAGATCTTTAATTCATACGAAATTAAAGATATTTTGAACATTTTTTTTAATAGTAGTTAGGTCACTATATTAAAAAACTTTTTTAATTTCTCAATTTTTTTAAAAAGAAATTAAAAAAATCTCATTATAGAACTTTTTATTTCATTTTTTAAAGTTTGAGAGACTAACGTTATATAGAATTTTTCCAAAAGAAATAAAAAACGTGATATAGAATTATTAATATACGTTATAAAATTGAGTATTTTAATTTAGTGGACTAAATTATAAGTCCCAATTCTTCAAATAATAATGAATTTGTAGACTATCCTGTATTTTGTAAAGCTTTTGATATGAGGATACAAATTAATATTAATCATTAAATTACTTTAAAAATATAATTTTTATTCAATGTAATCATATATCATGAGGCATGTTTTAAATGAAAAATTATTAAAAAAAACATCTAAAATCATATGTATTTTCATTAAAAAATAATAGATATATCATTTTATATCTTATTATTTATTAAAAAAATATTATTTTTCTTAGGATTATTATTAAATTGAGTTCAAATAAATTATTTTTCTAGTTAAGATTAGTTTATTTGAATTAGTTAAAATAGGTCTTAATTATGAACTACTTTTAGATTAATTAAATTAGTATAACATCATAATCTATGAAATTTGAAATTAATTGTTTATTAATTATAAATTACTATTTTTAGATTAAATAATTATGGGCACAGCCAGTTTTTCATCGATGCAAACTAGTTACATGTAAGGTAAGTAAAAGCTGAAACAAAAAACCTATGATGCAGCATCAACCCAAAATAACATGGTTACGTACAAATTTTTAAAAAAAATCATTACAAAAGAAAATAAGAAAAGGATGAAGACAGCAAACCGAATAGAAAAATTGTCCACAAAAATAAACCCAATCAGAGATTGTTGGAAGAAATCACCGAGTAGGAAATGATACTTCCGTCCAAAGAAGAAAAAAGCAGTTCCATTATCCTTGCCCTCCAGTCAAAAGAAATTTGGCTGAGACCAGCCACTATGAGCTGACACTTTCTTTCTAAAAATTAACAAGATACCACTGCAGATAAACTTGATAATAATGGACAAAAGAGTTTAAAAAAAAAATGTTGACAAATTAAAGAAACAAAAAAAGGCTTGGTTCTGCAGAGGCCGTAGATCATCTCGACTCCGCTGGCCCGCTCCCGTTCCTGTCGTTAAAAGCCAACCGGTGACAGAGCTCATGCAACCTCCTTCTTCCTCCTCTACCTCACGCCACTGCAGGCTGCAGCCGACTACTTTCACACGAGCTTCCGACCTCCCCTTATTCCACCCCTTCCAGATAGCCTCTTGCCCGTCGCCTTGCTCTACCTCATCACACCAAGCCTCCTGTACTCAGACCCGACCAAACCTGCAAGCAAGCCGCTTGCACACGAAGGTTCCGATCTCCTGCCCTGGCCACAAGACTCACGAAGCCAACTCCCACTCCTCCGTATCTGTCTCCAACACCCTCTGCCGAATCCTCGGCCTGCCCTAGCTCCAGACCACACTACCCTAAGCTCGGCATCCGCCTCCAACCAAGCCGACCACAGACGACGGACCTTCTAGCCGCGACCTCCGAGGCCGAGCCGATCTTTTCTCGCGTATAGGTAATCTTCTTCCTCTTCTTCAACCCCTTCTTCTTGTTCTTCTATCTCTTCTTCTATTTGCTACTTCTTCTACTGTTTCTTCTTCTTCCTTTCCCTTTCCCTTTCCTGAAAGTTTGGGTGGCAAAAATGAATACGAGAACTTGCTTCCATTGTTTGTGGGAGATTGAGTTCTTCTAAGGGGGTGTTTGGTATCGGATTTATATCGATTTTTAAGCAGGATTTACGGTAAATCCAGCCAAACGCAAAAAATGGCGTTGCGGATTTACGTCGTAAATCTGCTAAATCCCGGTAAATCCTAATCCGACTAGAAGTCGGATTTATGGGATTTGGCCGAAGAAGCGTGCGAAAGGGAGAAAGCTACCTTCACAGCGAGCGAGCTACCATCAGATTCACTGTATGTATCCTTCCTACGAGATCCTCTGCTCCTCCTCACCTTTCTTTCCTCTGCTCCTCCTCACCTTACGGGGTTTGGCCATTTCGCCGCAGTATTTTCGCAAGATCCTCGGCCAGCGCGAAAGGGAGAAAGTTACCTTCATAGCAAGCGAGCCCCATTGTTGCTTCCGATCAAAAAATGTCGTAACTTCCGCTCCAACAGGAAGGGAAGGTCGTGGAAGGAGCGAAGTCGAACAGCGACGAAGTAGAACTCGCGCAAAACTCTGCAGAAGGGAATGAAGCCGAAAGAAATAGAGAGGGAAAGGCAAAACCAAAACTCTCTTGTTGGATCACTTAATTAATATAATTTAGACCTTAATAATTAAGTAAAACTAATTAATTATTATAAATTAATAATTAATCGTCTTAATCCTTGAACCACTTTAAATGCATTAATTATTCAAGAAATACATGTCAAATCCTTCAACCGATTTAACTCCTGAATTGAATAGTCAAATAGTCACATAGGATTTATCATAAATGTTATCAACAGTTTTCAGGATTTAACCTCCTCAGAATTTTGTATGTCCAAATTTAGAGGATTTATGAAATCCTACTTAAATGAAATCATGTGTGCTACCAAAGAGCCCCTATGTATGTAAAAGCAATAAAATGCCAATTAGAAGAAATATCGAACTTTTATGCGGAAGCCGCCAGTCAAGAGAGAATATGATGTTATGTTTGGTTAATTATTTGGCATATTACTTTTATTTTAAATCTCCAACCGTTTTAAATCCTGTAATCTATTGCCAAACATCTTTTTGAATTTAACAGGATTTAAAATTTTTCATACCAAACACAATTCAGGATTTATGAGCCTAGGATTTATTAAATCCGGATTTACTGGATTTAGTAAATCCTACTAAAATTGAATCCAATCTTATACCAAACACCCCCTAAGTATTCCTGCTAAGGGGATTAAAGTCATGATTTTCTAGTTTTTTGTGCTAAGATGCTTAAGTTATGCTTGCATTTTTTGTTCTTTTTATTTTTTTCATTTCTCATTTCAGAGATTTGAAATTGTTTGGCTTACATAAAATTGCAAAATTAACTACCAGATTTCCTTTTGATATAAATAATAAGTGAATATGGTGTCGTTTTCCCAGGGTTAAGTTCCTGTATTCCTGACAACTCCACAATGAGCTACTCCATCGTCATCTTCATTTTCATCATTTTTCTTATCGCTACCATCACCTATATCACCTACTTAATGTGGAATTACTCTGTTGTTGCCCCTCTCCCTCAACTTGAACGCAATGCCGATATTGAGATCGACAATGCTACACTTACTACCTGGCCTACGCTCACCTACGTTGAAGCCAAGAGTCGGGATCCGCGAGCAGTCAACGCCATTTGCTGCTATATTTGTCTTGTTGACTATCAGGAGGACGCGAGGGAGGATAAGGCAATGAGGCTTCTGCCAGAGTGTGGACATTTATTTCATGCAGCATGTGTGGATCCGTGGCTATGGAGGCAACATACTTGTCCGGTGTGCCGGTCATTGGTGATGAATCAGGACTTGCAGATGCCTTTAGCCGAGGTAATTCCACTTGAGATTGAACAGGCTTAAATATATACAAATATGATAATCAAATATGACATACATCTATATATAATTTATGATAATAGAGTAATGTCTATCCTATTTTACATAAAATATAAATATTCATGTTGTTTATTTATCTATTAGCATGGTATGTTGTGTGCATGAAGAATGTTAAAAGACATATTTTTTTTTAAATTAAGTGACATTATTCTTGATGTATGACAATATATTGCTTGTGCTTATTGGGTTGATTTTCCATATAAAAATGTTGTGATTTTTCTTTTCATTTCTCCTTGTATGTGACTAAGAATAATATTTGACTATTGTGTATGGCTTGAGATTTGATAAATATATTATGATTTGTTTTTGCTTTTTTTTTTTCAATAAATATAATATATTATAAATTAATGATCAATAATTTCATATGCTATTAAAACCGGACCAGACCGGCTGGTTCAACCGGTTGAACCGGAACCAGCCGGCTGACCGGTCGGTTCAAACCTGAAATCCAGAGTGGTATCAGACTGGATAAAAATCGGGCGAACCGCCGGTTGAACCGGGAAACCGGCGAACTGGCCGTATTTTAAAGAACCGGCCGGTTAAAAAAAAAAAAAAACATAAACGTGGTCGTTGGATTGAAACGCGAACTACCGAGATTGATTTGGCAGCGTATAACCTAAGCCTTAATTCTATTTCACCCTCCGCTTAGTTTCTCTTACATTATATTTAGGATAGAGATATTCGCCGCTTGCCTCCGCTATTCCAGCCGTGTGGCTTTTTGAATGTTTGAGGAACCGGATATCTGGAAATATATTGAGGTTTTCTTTTGCCGTTTTGATAAAATGCATCTTGTTAATGCAAGTTAATTTTTATTTTTTGGTAAAATGCATCTTGTTAATGCACAGCTTCCGTTATCTGGTTGAAGCTAAAAAACCTTTATTTCTTTCATATTTTTTGAAGTTTTATTTTTTGTGACAGGAAAATAGCAAGTATATTAGTGCAAGTTAATTTTTCTCGATACCAGAAAGTAATTGAACATTTCTTATAAGAAAATAGATCTTTGTAAAAGAAAAATTTTTATTGCTAAAAATTTTGATGGCTTGCGTAGCACAATCTTGTGTTATCTATTTGGTTAGTAAAGAGAATGGGAAATTATATTATTCTGCTAATATAACATTGTTATATTTATTGTTTAACCACATTCACGATTGTCCATTAATTTCCTTTAGGAATAACTACAGATTTGGGAAAATTAAGAGCCTAATTAAGCTCTGTTAGGAATTATTTGTCACCCCTGCATTGGTAAGGAATGGAGTGTATAAACTACTAGAGTTAGAAGCTAACTCATGCAATGATACTGCACGAAAATCTTTAACACTTTACCTATCTAATCACACAGTAATGTGTTTGCCTTCAATATTTGAAATCACCATAATTTTATTCTAGGTTTTGAACGCCCTTTCTTTGAGGGATTCATCTCTACATCTTAAAGGTTGGAGACTATGACGAATTGAGGTATGCACTTCTCCCCAATATGTGTCGTTTAAGTTCAATTGATGAGTTTGATATTAAGTTTAATTTTTAAGTATTAATTTTTGACTTTATTATCTCATTTTTAGTTTGATATGAGAATGAAATGTAGAGTGAATGTATAGAGAAAAACTTTTCATTCATTTTATAATATTCAATAATTATATTATTTATTACGTCATCCAGTTCGACCCGGTTCGACTGGTCGAACCGTGAACCTCTCCTTCTTCATGTTCGTTAACCGGTCCAGTTTTCATAACCTTGTTAATTTCAAAAGCAAGAAGGATAAGAATCACATTAAATTAATTGATTGAATGGCTCTTTTCCCTCAGCTTGCAAAACTTTTTACACTAATTAATGTTGTAGGCATGAGGAACACTAACATTAGCAATGCTGATAAGAGGGAATAATTGATTTATTGAGCTTAGTTTTAGAGCCAAGTTTTGTATCTGTCCAGTATTAATTAGTTTGTGACATTAATGGAGCAAATTCTTTTATTATGAACAATTCTCTTAATGGTGTGGTGTTACTTCGTTGTAGGAATACTTTTATTTGGTTCTATCTTTTATTGCATATGCTGAACTCCAATATTGAAATTTAGCCGGTTCCTGATGCTTTTTTACTGAACGCTAGAAAAGCTCTCACTCTAACGCTTCTTCTTTATTTCAGCAAGCTGCATGGTTTAGCTCTCTTGAGCACGTTCAACCTCTTAGTGTTCTTCTGAGGAGAATAATCTAACATCTCCACACTCTTCCTCCCAGCTCTTTCTTCTGGGTTGCTCGCTACAATTCCACCCTGAGATTCATACTAATATAAATGCACATATATAAAGGAAAGAAAAAAATAATAGAGGAAATATAATAAAATAAAATATTCTCAATAATGAAAAATTATTGTATGAATAAATACTATATATTCTAATTATAAATGTTATATGGCAATAATTAATTCGAATAACTCTATTGGTTAGAAGAATTTGAATTTTATGAGTATTTTAATTATATTTTAAATTAAAATCATATATTTGAAAATTTTTGAGACCGCTTAGTTTCTTAAAAAGAAATTTATGAGCTTATTAATTTGTTTTTCTTTTTGGTTATTTACAAAGGAGAACTAATATTTGAAATACAAAAATGACAATGATAGTGGGTACAGTAGTGGACTCATAATATTCTTCTCATTGTATGTTTATTAGATTGCTTGTGATAAAACACTATAGACCTTTTTAAGAAAATAGATCTTCGAGAAATAAATTTCCCCAATGGATATTTTACAAACATTTAAGAAAAACATATCTTTAAAAAAGTCTCTCACAACAAGGGTCTAGTTGGCAAGCTTATCTAACTATTACTAAACCTAGTATGCCTTTATTATTGGTGTGATTAGTCCGCATATGTAAAATCCGAAGAAGATACAGTAAGAGGCTGCCTAAGAGTTTTGAATTATGGCAAGAAATATCTTGAAAAAAAGACAAATCACTTAAAGATTTCAAGGCAGATGTTGATTATGCTAGGTGTCGAAGTCCATTGAGAATAGAAAATCAACTTTTTTATATTCTATGTTCGCTGATGGATATATTATAACGTGGGGCAAGAATGGTAAAACAACATGTTAGGAAAGACTACCCTCCGCTCCTCTCATCCTCTTCATGCCAACGCCATCGATCCAGCAATATACCCACCGTGCGTGATGACTACCCTCCGCTCGAACTCCCGCTTCGGTGGCATGACCCCCCTACGCTCCAACATCCTCCGTCTCCCAACTCCTCCCGTCCACGCGAGATGGATGCTGATCGCGACCAGACCAGACCTGCAATACGCGAGATGCAAGAGATCGCTGATCACAACCAGAGCAATGATCTAAAGCCGTTCCAACAAATCTCTTATGTCGCTGATTTCGACTCCATCGAACAAGTCTTCAGTATACCAGAACTCCCAAACCCGCCTTAGGACATTCCCATACCCGGCATTCAACCCAATTCCGCCGTTACCACTCCTCCATTGCCGCCCGCTCAGACAGAGCACCCACTCTGCTCTCGCGATTTTGCTCCAAGTGTCGAGCTCGATCTCTCACGAATCGATTATAGTTCTTCATCTCACAACCAACCGGCGGCTCTAACCACGCTCCATGCCACCATACTAAGCCCGCCCATGACTCTCTATGCGCCTGTGACCGATGCCTTCCATCATCCCGATCCAACATCGTCCGACGATGACGGCTCAAACCCCGGTTCCG